ATAATAAATAATAATAATAATAATAATAATTAATAATAATGGCTCTGACTCACCTGGTGACCAAGAACTACAGCCTGGGACACTCTACCTGACTCTTGTGGTTTCTTCCCCAAACCCCCAAAACTTTAACCTCAGACTGCCTACTACTGACCTCCCCCCTTTCCTAAGAGGTCTGTAGGGGGCGTGCATAAGCGCACCAATCGTGCCTACCGTCCCTGTCCTATTGTTTCTTTTCTTTTTCTTATATGCATCCATGGATTCATAACCATGTTTATCCTTCCACCTGTTATCTTGTAATCGCTTGATAAATAAATAAATAAAATAAATAAAAATAACAAAATAAATCAACCACCCAACCAACTGCTATCCATCTCGGCGCGGGAGCTTCCAGGCGGAGCGCTTCCGAGGGGGCCTCTCCAAGGAATCCGGAGTGGGGGGAGACCTTGGGCTGGCCGGGGAGGCTTCTCTTCCCCCCTCCCCACGTTCCCGGCGGCCTAGGCCAGGTTCCCCTCCCCACCGGAGCGAAGGGCCGGGCCCACGTCGCGCGCCACGGCCGCGGGTGGGGGGGGGAAGAGGCGCGCCCCATGGAGTCCATCTAGACGCGCAGGGGGCGCGGGGAGGGGCGCAGGCCCTGCTTGGCCGGCGAGGGCGCCCCCCTTCTCGGCTGCCTGGCGGCGTGGACCCCCCAACAGCGTCTTGGACCCCCAGCCACTCCCACGCGGGGGCCGCGGGACCGCCCCCGCCCCCCCCCCCCCCCCGCAGCTGGGTGCGCGCCCATTCCCTTTTTACGCAGCGGATATATGGAGAGGGTGGCGCGGGCCGGGAGGGAACGCGCGGAGTGGGGGGTCGGGCAGGTTTGGAAGGGAACCTCCGAGGTCATCTAGGCCAACCCCCCCCCTCCCGCAGGCTGACCCTCCTCCGCCTTCCCTCCCCGCAGGACTCTGGTCGCTGACCTACGAGCAGGAGCTGACCACGCCGCTCCACATCACGGCCAGCCGGGGCTACCTGGAGTGCTTGCGCCACCTGCTCTTGCGCGGCGCCCGGGTGGATCTGGCGCCCGGCGGGCAGACCGCCCTGCACGCGGCTTGCGCGGCTGGCACCACCGACTGCGCCCGCCTCCTCCTCTCCTTCGGCGCTGACCCCGGAGCCGTCTCCGAAGGCGGCTACCAGCCGCTCCACCTCTGCCGGAGCCCCGGCTCGAGCGAGTGAGTAGTAAGGAGCGGCTCCTCCCGGTTGCAAAGCCCCGCAGAGGATGCGCCCTGGAGCGGAGGTGGGATGGGGTGGATTGGGGTTTGGAAGGAGCCGCCCGTGAGGTTCCCCCTCGCTTTTGGCCTGCTTGAAATCCAAGGACGCAAAAAAAAAGGCGCAGGCGGAAGGCTGGGGGAGAAGGCAGCATCCGATCCACTGGATCCGTGGGCCCCAAAATCCTGCGCGGATCCTTTTTTGGGAGGGGGATCCGGCTTCTCCCAGGGTGTCGGGGGCCGGCGCTTGAGGAGCCCGAGAGAGGCGCAAGAGCGATCCAACGGGAAGGAGAGGGGTCTCGGCACCAGCCACGAGGCTCGCGTGTTCTGTGTCACGGGAGGGGGCGAGGTAGCCCTGAGGTAGCCCCGCCCTGTCTGCGTGGGCCTGAGGGGGACTCCCCGCGCGTGGGACGCCTTGCCTTTCCCCTTTCCCGAGGGGAGGAAGCGCCAAATCCGAGGGGAAGGGGCCGGCGCAGGCGATGCAACCCACTCCCGTGTTTCGTGGAAAGTGTTTTTTGGGCCAAGAAATGGCCAGAGGCCGCGAGTGGGAGCTGTCCCACCGCTCTCGTCCAGGCCCCCCCCAAATCCTCCAGCCGGTCCTGGTGTCCGAATGGGACAAATTGCCACAAATAATAAATAATAATAATAATAATAATAATAATAATAATAATAATAATAATAATAATAATAATAATAATAATAATAATAATAATAATAATAATAATAAT